AGTTTCCAGTAAAAACTGCCCAATGCAAACAATGAGATTCTTATTTACTTATTTTTAAAAATCCCCTAATGTAGTTTTCCTTGCTGTTTTTGTAGATATTTGTGGGCCATCGGCAAAAATGTCTGGAAGAGATGGAAGAAAAGGTTCTTTGTACTGGTCCAGGTAATGCTTCCACTAAAACTTATATTTGTATTATTCTTTAACACCACACCGTAATACAATTAGTGTCTAAGAGCAGTGTTGATACACAAACACAAGGATACTTTGGCCTGGTTCACACAAAATCCGAAGCTATTATGAGTAAGAGGCCACACATTGCAGTAAGTGTAACAAAGATCATTACAGCATAGGCTTATGAACAAGGTTAATGACACGTAATTGCTGTAAAATTGTAAGGTGTAAAGTCTAGGATTTTAAATGATGGGCAGTTTATGGGCGAACTCAATGGGACAAGGGAGGCAAGCAATTCCTCTATCACTGTCCATAGATTCCAACCTGAATGTATAAGGAAAACTAGAAGGACTGCATGTCCTCATTGCCCTTCTGCTTTAGAGTTATAAAGCATATACATAAATAAGTTACTTAATGAGCACTCATTAATCAACTTCTTTACATGCATTATAAATCTAAAGCGGATACAGGAAGAAAGAGGCGCAACATTTAACTGAAGAAAGCTTATATACTTGTGGATTACCAAACAAAGTTGGGGAAAAGGCTTTTCCTTTTATGACAGCCTTTTGGAGATGAGGTTGCTGCTTCTGTTTCTTGTGTCTGACACCAGAAAGTCTCACTGCCAGGACTTCTTATCCATGCCTAATTATAGCATTGCAATTACTATTGTGTGGGGTTCTCAGTGTGCATGTCTTCTCCTTCTCTTCCTTCTTCTTCTCCTTCTCCTTTTTCCTCTCTTCCTTCTTTTTGTTTTCCTTCTCCTCCTCCTTTTCCTTTTCCATCTACTTCTATTTCTCCTCCTCCTCTTCCTCCTCCTTCTTCTCCTCCTCCTCCTCCTCCTCCTTTTCCTTCTACTTCTACTTCTACTTCTACTTCTCCTCCTCCTCCTCCTCCTCCTCTTTCTTCTTCTCCTCCTCCTTCTTCTTCTACTTCTACTTCTCCTCCTCCTCCTTCTCCCTCTCCTCCTCCTTTTCCTTTTCCGTCTACTTCTATTTCTCCACCTCCTCCTTCTTCTTCTTCTCCTTCTCCTTCTCCTTCTTTTTTTCCTTCTCCTTTCCTCCTCCTCCTCCTTCTCCCTCTCCTCCTCC